CTCAAAGTCACTGTGACTTGGAGACTGGCAGCAACCACCTCGGCCTTTTTAATTATTTTTAAAAAATCTTTCCTTTTCTTCCTGAGACTGGTGAGGCCCCGCCTCCCCTGCCTCCAGTGACTGCACGTCCCTGAGAACAAGTAAATACCACCTCTGACTGGCCCCACTCCATCTATTCTCTGCCTCCTGAGTCCCAGCTGATGGGAAGGAAATGGAGATTTTGCAGTAACCTTCCCCTGGGGTAGGAAAAGAGATTTTACAGTATCCTTTCCCTGCCGTACCCACCAAGCCATAGCCAAAAAGCCATGGCCACCAAGCCACACCTGCAGAACTGGTAGTAAAAAATTTGAATCCCACCACTGCCCCATCCCATGAAAAACATCTGCAACAGGTTCAGGATTGATTAAAGACTTCATAAACAGAGACCAATGAAACTAAGTTACTGCAAGAACTACATGTTTCATATCTGATTTACAGTAACAGGTCTAAATTTCTTGAGATATATCCTGCTACTGGTTTGGTTTTTTTCACCAGGTTTGTAGTTATTGAGTCCAGTGACCCACCTGAGGAAAATATATTGGTTTCAAAGGGAAGAAGGGGGGATGAAAAGGCTTTACTGTGTGTAGAAAATACAAAAATAAGTGATAGAAATGAAGAAAGGAGAGGTTCCAGGTAGTGTGTAAACATGTAAATATCACAACACATATTATGCACCATAGTTCTCTTTATAGTTTAGTAATCAAATGCCCTATTAACATATACTGTAACTGTTTCTTCTCATCCTCTCATAGCATTATGTCATGTAAGCTATAGATGATATGATCCCTATAAGTGTTGCACTGATGAAATGTCTAGTAATCAGAAATACAGACATCTGCACATTTCTTCCCCAGTGTGATAGATACATTGCAGTCATGGTTGTTTGCTTCCTTTCTTTCAAAGGACAGTGGAGAGTGATGGTGAAAACAGATCATGATTCTCCAGAGCCACGGACATCTAAAAGAACCCTTGTAATTTATGGCTCAAAAGGCAAAAGTGATGATCTTCTCCTGTCTTCACAAAGTTTGGGATATGTGTGTTTCCAACCAGGAGCCACTGATGAATTCATTGTAAGTTATTGTTACACAGACACTGAAGTGACAGCTTGCTTTAGGCAGAGGACAGAAATCCTGCTGTAAGGGGACCAAAAACCATCCTTTATTTACCAAGAAGCTCTGAAATATTATTTATGTTTCTCTGCATGTTCCCCTGGTTCTTTTTTCAAGGTATAAATAATTCTGAGGATACTGAAGGTATGGAAAGCAGTACATGCCTAAAGCCATAAGCAATGAGGTCTGTAGAGACATTTGTTGCAAGTTTATACAATTATCATATAGCCATTAATAATAACTCAGTGATAACATTTTGGGAAGAAAGAAATAAAGAAAGACTGTATTAAGAAAGTATGGTTTGCAAGTTATTAAGTGGCATGGCTTTGTTCATTGCATATGCTTTCCCTGTCCTTTATTTCCTAATGTTTCAGTCACTACAGGGGTATGGTAGAAGCTGAGTTTGGGTCTCACAACTTAATATCTGACAATGCTCCAGGGTAACACTATACCAGAAGTACTGAAAAAACTGAATTGATGGCTCCCAGTCATCTAATGTTGACTGGACCCTTGCTGCCAATAGCCAGGACTCTCCCAAGAGACCAATACATCCGTTGTTGTTTTGTTGTTGCTTAGTTGCTCATTTTTCAGACCAGATCACTGCATCTGTATGTCTTCATCAGCTTTTTAGGCAGATTATCTCCATGTAAGTTTGCATTCACAGGTAAACTTTTTGTATATTCTTCTTTTTTAAACATATGGATAACTTTGTATGTACACTGGGCGTATTTGGTAACTATCTCTTATGCAACTCATCTTCTGTATACATTTTTGTAAATGTATATAGAAGAAGTATTACATAAGGGTATTGAATGAATCCTGAACATAATTCAATTATTATTCTTGTTGCTTGGATAGGTCTGATTATGAGTCTTAAATCCTTTTTATTTATGAGCAGAAAGGGACAAAGGATCCCAGTGGAGGTCCAGGAAAATGCATTCCATAGCATGGAAACAATGTGGGGCAAAAACTTCTCATGCCTGAAAAATAGTCTGTCAAGCCATGCAAGCCCCAAGATTATTTTCTCCAGCATCTCTGGAGCAACAATGAATCTGAGAAGCTCACAGTGGCGGCCCACTTGTAAATTCACCAGTTCAGTTACTAGAGTGGGTTGGGCCCCTCCAATTAGAGTTCCATCTACCTGTTCACCCCAAATGGGACAGATTTTAGATTTCTTTTAGATTTTTATTTAGCATTTATAGGCCGCCCTTTTCCCTGAGGGGACTCAGGGCGGCTTACAATAGTAAGGGAAGGGGAGTGAAGACAAAATATAGAAAAAAAAATGTGAAATAACTAAAAAGTACTAAAACACAACATTCACTCAACATTCGGGAGGGGCAGAAAAGTTTATCCCCAGGCCTGACGGGCTAGCCAGATCTTCCTACTGGTTTGGCGGAACAGGTCGTGGTACGGCGGCCTGGGTCACTGGAACCGGCAGCAACCCAGGCCTGCCAAGCCCCCGAACCAGTTCCCGGTCTCTTCTGCTGTCGCCGGCATGTTTCTGT